TATAAAGCTTTCAGCAAAATGGTTGCATTTCTACAAGGCATGAGAAATAAGATCTGCCAGAATCATTATGTGGACTTAGTCTATAATATCAGGATCTGATACAGTGTTTCCTGTGGATATCATTCTGGAGTGTTTGGGATTTTTTCACACGTGTATCCATTAGGATAGAAAGCCTTTGTGTAAGAAGTTGTTATAATACTTGTGAGGGTTGAATAAAACCTAGAATAATTACACCACTTTTTAACTCTTTGGAACATGTTAGCAGAGGTACACTATTTCTAAATATAATTGCTTAAGTAGTCCAGTATAAAAAAAAAAGCAGAGGTAACTAAGTTCAATTGGACATAAAGCACTTCCACCTGGAGCATCTCCAGTTCATGTAGCAAATACCCTGTGACAGGACACTGCTGTTGCTCTATGGAAATGGATTGTCCTCTGAAGAGCATCTTTGAGATGACAGAGAATTCAAAGAAACATTGCTGCTTAATAGACTGAAGCCTATACAAGTTAGTTAACATTTTAAAAGCTCTTATGCTTTAGATTTTGGGGGAAAAAATGCATAAAATACTGTAAAAATACTATTGTAATAGCTTACTGTATGAAAACCATTCCTTGCATTAAGGGAAAAATCCAAACAAGTCTCCATGGAAACCAGATAATCACCACCAAGCTTTCTAGAAAAAAATACAATAAAACAACATATGTGGGAGGAGTCTATAAAACAGAAGGACCGAGCCTACTCTCTACACATACACCTCTACGTATGTTCATGCGTCATACGCAGCACCATTTGGCTTGCTTAGTGTACACTGTTACTGAGCAAGGATAACGCATGAAGTGTCTGCAGTATGCCTCAGTCTAGATCATCTGGATTTATGTCTTTTTTCTCAGCACAGGTGCTGAGTTTTGGATTTGACTAATATCTGTAAGAAAGTGCTGGCTTGTGTACAAGATAGTGATATTTTCTGTTCTTTTGAATAAATGGATCCTACAAGATTCTAGCAAGAGAGCTAGAAGTACCCAAACAGTTGGTCACAAAGACCTGTTCAACTACAGGGCAAAACCATGGAGAAAGTAGTTACCTAGGATCTGATATATCTGTTCTGCTACTCCAAGAGTCTACAGCAGTTGCAGCTTCAGAAAAAGAAGGAATAATAGACAGAAAACATCTGATTTTAATTTCAGTTCTGAGCTAATCTTTTGTACCTTTATGTTCCCATCAATATTCAGATTTACATTTCACCTCTTCTGTTAATTTTTTATCTCATTAAAAGTAATGTAATAACACTGAGCATGAAAACAACCTTCTCCTTTAAAATGGTTTGCATGGAAGTAAACAGCTACTACCTAAAAGTAATAGCTACCATAGTGCAGCAGGAAAAAAATTGAAATACCAATGCTATTAATACCACATACAAAAGGTGAACAAGTAAAGAAGTTAATTCCCTAAAATCACAAAAAAATCACTTCTCAGGAAACTAATACATGACCCAGACAGATGAAGAATGAGTCATACTGTAATTTTGTGGTTTCAGTTTTTCAGTGTTCCTGCTCAGTGGTGTTTTTTGGTATATGAAGGACATACACATATTATGCAAATTTATCTGTGAATTATGGGGCTAATCAGACTGCAGTTAAAATTCATTGCTCATATTCACCCATATCTCCTTGTAAACCACACATATATTATTTCGTTTTTAAGGGTTTTTTTTACTTAATTGTAACATAATTAAATTAAAACCAGTTAATCCCTGGGATGTGGACATTCACAATGAAAAATGGTATGAAAAAAAAAAAAAGAAGTACCAGCAGAAAAAAAAAAGATATCTGAGGTTTTTTCTGTGACCAGGTTTCAAAGGGATTATTCTGGGGGAAATTAAAATCTCAATTATGCCTAAAAGCAGAGAACTCCGTGTTAACTACAGGTACTGATCTAACCAAAATACGCATTAGCCACAGAGTCTCTTTGATAACCTGGAAAATAATCTCAGTCTAAATTTGCAAATCCTATTCTGCTTCTGTTTGAGACTTCTCTGGACTGCTTTTCACAGAGTTGCAATGAAGTCTTTCGTACCCTGGGGTTCTGTAGTTCTTTCGCAATGAAGATTTCCCAGGAGTGCTATAATCTGAAGTAAAGATGAGAATTAAGTTTTTTTAGCTTAGAAAAAAAAAAAAAAGAACACATCAAAAACTGAAGCTTTGCTGTATTCTGCAATCCAGATGGAATTTACTTAATAGTTTGAGAGGAGATGAAAACTGGAAAAAGAGTCACAAAGCTATTGAATAGGAAGGATGTGTTACCCACACTGGGGTAACATATAGCCTAGCTTTTTTTGGGCACTTAAAAGATGTGGGTTCAAATCCTTTTAGAAAACATAATATGATAGAAGGTCTGGAGTCAAATAAAAAATTAATTATTGACACAGCCTAGCCCTGAAGAATAGTTGGGAACATGAATAATTCGGAAGATACATCTGAAAGTGTGCATTATTTGAGAGCAGAGCTGAGAGCATGCTAAAGGACAACATGGTGACTGGAGGTTTGCTGGACCACCACCACCCCCCACTCGGTTACTGGAAGAATACTATATCAAGCATTTGTGAGTTACAAGGAATGACTTAGAAAGAAGCCTGCTGTGCAATGCAAGGGAGGTTACCCTTGAAATTCCAAAGTACAAGTTACCTAGGTGAACCTGCAAGACTGTTTACTTTCATAATGTGGAGAAATCCACCAGTTCTTCAGCTGTACCAGTGCTGAAGAGGAGGTAGGGCTGTATTTCTCATCGGTACGTCTGGTGATTCAGTTTAATTTTCATAGCTCAGAGTAGGAAAAGCCTAGCTATTATATAGAAATTCTGTGTTGGTCTTTTAACATATTATTCTATCTCAGTGTGCTTTTGTTTTACAGGAGACTATGTAGTCATGTCTGTTTACTTTAACCTGAGCAGGAGAATGGGTTATTTCACTATTCAGACCTACATTCCCTGCACACTTATTGTTGTGTTGTCCTGGGTCTCTTTCTGGATTAATAAGGATGCAGTTCCAGCCAGAACATCACTGGGTGAGTTGGTTTTCTTCCTGCTTTCTCTCAAGCATTGTGATGTTTAACTGATACCTCTGCTGATCCCCGGTTTATAAGTGTAGACAGACAATTTCACACGTGCTGTCCTAGTTCAGAAGGATGTAGTAATTTCCAAGGAATAACACAGCCTAAACCATATTTGCATCTCCTCCTTTTTACTATGTCAGATCCTACCTCTGAGTATTGTAGATTGCCTCCAAATAAAAACTTTTGCATCTTTTTCTGATGACAGCATTAATTTTTATAAACATCAAGAGGGTAAAGAACATGGCCGGGTTAGAGGCCTCGACACATTAGTTAAATTTGCTCTTCTTTTATGTCTTGGTGACCAGCAATATGAATGAAATAAGTACCAAGAAGGAATCAATCTTTTTGTCTGGCTGCGTGCTGTAGTGGTAAATAGAGGAAAAGTCAACTGTACTCTATGGTATCTAAAATCCTATTCATGAAAACCTGACATGCAATTAATCAGAATTAGCAACTTCTACACATTTAGCAACTGTCCAACAAATAAACTGAGACACCAAATTAGCCTTGTTTGTGCAAAGCAGCTGTAGCTAAAAGAATTGGCGAACTTGAAACACTCAAAGTTAAACACATTTTCTATTTCTGCATTAAATTCACACGAGTGAGAATCATTTTAGTTTTTCCTTCTGCATTTTCTTTTTTTTTTTTTTCACAGAACTACATCACAGTGCACTGGAAAGCAAAATGACGGACAGCATTTTCATTCCAGAACTCTCTTGAAAGAAACACAGGAATAGAGGACCAGTGGTTCTTATGACAGTGTTTTAGGTGTTTTATTGCCCTTTTCACATCCTCTTTAAAAAGAGGTTATAAAATCTGCTCTAAAGAAGTACAAAATTAATAAAGGCATTCAGCTATTATTTTTAATTTTACTTGATATACATAACAGACCTAATTCTCTGTTAAGAATTAGTCCAATTGTACGTCTGAGGAGGTAAAATCAGTGGTATGAAATTTGCCCTATAAAATATGATAGATTTTAACAGTTCTGATGCATTTTTAACATTCTTCACATGGTAGTACAGGGAATTCTGTTCTGAAAGGAGAAGGGATGGCGAGGCATGTGACAGGACTTCTCAGTTAAAAACTAGTCACTTATGAAAGCCAGAAGAGGTACTGCTGTCCACACAGAAAGAAAGCTGACCTCACAGCGTTATAATTATAAGGAGCACTTAGAGACTCTCCCTTCCGGTTTTATACATGAGAAATCAATTAACACAAAGCAGATAACGTGTGTGGGGCTTACATCTTCTGCATACAACTAGAACGTGTTTAGTCAAGAGAAAGGGCATAATTTTATTTACTTATCTACCATACATACAAATCTACATGTTTTCTACTGAAGTGCTTGCTGGATTTCATGCTTTCTTAAGAACTGTCATGAATTTCTACCTTGTGTAATGGCTGTTACAAACACATATCATTACCTTGCAACTAAACATTACCCTGCAACTAAAACCAAACAAAACTTATCCCAAAAGCACAAAAAGTTTGAGATTGGTCTTGAGTACACTTTAAAAAAAAAAAATGGAGTAGAGCAATTATTTTCTCCACAATAGTTTTCTCACACTGACACAGTTTTTCCTCTAGCTGTTTAAGGGTTTGAGCACACAAATCCTAAAACTAAATTACTCAATTAATAATAAAGGTCTCTTGGAAGTAAACTACAAAACTAAAAAATTAAATTTCTTGGAATCAGAATCCATCTGACCAAAGTATTCTGCAGAGTAGCTCTTGCAGTGGCCATGCAAAAGTGTTCCATACCCTGTGTTAATCCCCAAAGCTCTCACTGAATTCACATTTCACTGCTGGGATGTGCTGTTTAATCTATTTGCTGTATCTTTGAACTCCAGGCATGTTTCAAAACCAGTCAGAGAGAGATAACTGACAAAATCAGTTTGTTACTTGAAGTAATAATATTTCTGTTGTTTTTGATCTATCTACCAGGTATTACAACTGTCCTGACAATGACCACTCTAAGTACAATAGCTCGTAAATCTCTTCCCAAAGTCTCCTATGTCACAGCAATGGATCTTTTTGTGTCAGTCTGCTTTATTTTTGTTTTCTCTGCACTGGTGGAATATGGAACTTTGCACTACTTTGTCAGCAACAGAAAACCAAGCAAGGACAAAGACAAAAAGAAGAAAAATCCGGTATGCATGTTTTTAACAGCAAGGTCTAAAATCCAATTAGGTTTTCTGATAGAGAATTTAAATCCCTCTTTATACTTGTACTTTCTTTTCAGATTTTGCTATTTTATATATATATTCTTCCTTTGTATTACTAGGAATGCAATCATTCACCTTGAGAATGAAAGGCTTATATATTACAATTGTCTGGATGCCAGAGATACTAATTTCTTAGAATAAGGATCCTTTTAACCAAGGTGTTCTGCAAGTCACAACTATCACCAAAACCATTGTTTATATTACAGGTAGAGCTCTCACTGTGATCTTTAGGGAAGAACTACCAGTTTCTGTCTTAGCTTTAGCAATATTCTCTGCCATTAACATAAGTCTGTATTATTGATTAGACTGTTTCTCTTATTATCAGGACTAGTTACGGTTTCATATTCAAACTACAGAGTGTGCTTTTTATAATTTTCCCTTAGGCATCTGTTTCTTTTTCACTGTTTCCTTATCTTATTTTTCCTGTATTTCTTACCTCCTTTATCTACTTCTCTCCCTTAGAAAGTGATTTGGCTAACAGTTTACAGTGTTACTTATAGATGCATGCTACACCATAATAATAATTAAAAAATAATGTGTATAACCACCAAAACAATTATGGAATACCCAGAGGTTTTG